CATAACTGTGAATGTTTACAAATCTTTAAGGTAAAAAATGAAACCCTTATAGTAAAGAAAATTATTTGTTAATTGGCTGACATAGATGTTCTAATAAGAACAAGAAAAACAATTGTATTTCAGTTACACTTCTGTAATAAGACAGGGTTGACTACATATATGTAACACCGTATCACATACTACAGTTTTAATGAAGATAATGGGTTAAGTCAACCGACGTCTTACCAATCAAAACAAGATGACTGATGATCTTGCTAGCAGCAAACACTAAGCAACTTGGAGCTGAAACACTATTACTTAAAACATGCTTGTAAAGTTAGTAAGAGTCTTACTCTGATGCTTCAAAATACGCACACCAAACAACATGAGATGTTACTGGGTTTATTCATACTCATACAAACATTGTACATTAGTGTGTATTCACACACATATAAATTAATGTGTACATCCATAAACACACACATTCTATATATATAAAAATATTATATGTATACATATGTGTGTGTGTGGATATACGCACCGATGTATAATGTGTGTGTACGAGAGTGGATATACACATGTATGTATGTGTATATATATGGTTAAAGTACACCTGTAAAGTGGATATACCCATCAATATACGAGTGTATTAATAGTATGTATGTGTGTGTGTGTGTGTGTGTGTGTGTATATACACAGTAATGGTACACACGTGAAGTTCATACTGTTGTGTACAGTTCAGAAGCCTTTAACAACACATTTTATAACTTACGCACATACAGAAACACTTATCAGAACATAAATTATTATAAACTAACATAAGATAAAATTGTACCACTTTTTTATTTAAAAAAAGACCTTACTCTAAAGGAAATTTCTAGATTTTCGCCACCCCAAATGTCCATTCCACCATCATATTCTCCTAGGTCATGAAAATACTTCCTGTCCATAGCAAAAAGGCCACCAGCCATTGTAGGGGACCTAATAACATAAAACAATAATTATCTACACAAGTCATAAACTATGCTATAAGAAACCACGTGTTGAGTCAAAAGTACTTATATCATTCTTCATTTGATCAAATTAACCATTTAGCAATGGGCACGGTATAAAAAAACTGAGTCCGAACACACATTTGCACACATTAAGTATTTATGTTATAACTTTTAATACAGTATGTGTAACTTCACAAAATTTGGTAGAATTTTGGGAAACATTACAAGTCTTTTGAACACAAAAAATCAGATTTTTTTGATGAAGTATTTTTACTAAAACAGATTTGTTTGTGAGCATATTGAGTCCGTTTCGTTACTAGTCCGAGTGCAAAGTGACTTTCATGTTATGATAAAAAATACTGTTCGTTGTCCCAAAAATCTCAAATTTCATTTGCATAATCTCTAAAACCTCCTACATACGTTTCGAACATTTGTTTTCAGTAAAACTTTATATTTTATCTGTTATTTTCTCTAACCTAACTCTATACAAGGTTGGTCAATTTGACTGACCTCGTAACCACCCAAACAAAAATTTAAATAAATCTAATTAACCTTTCTTTATCTTTCTAGAATGACTTCAAATTGTAACATGAAACTACATTTGTTTGTCCTAAGCAGCTTTAAACACATAACAGTATACATCTGTTTATACTTAAATTTTATTATTTTATTGCCCTTTGAACCATGTCTAACTACTATTCGTGCTATTATTAGTTGTAAATCACTTGGGCAATGTGGGGGCTCACGTTACGTTATTAAATTATATTACTCTCTTCTACTGTTCATCACCTATAAACTTGCTGGAAATTCCAAGAGCAGATACACAGATTTATATATCAATGTTCAATCACATTTTATGGCACCAGCTCAATTAAATAGCATTGGTTCTTGATAGATTGATAGTAACTTTTGAAGACAGCTATCTACGAGTTTTTCTCTTCAAGTATTAAATCATGGGTCAATTATATGTCAGCACCATCATTTTTCCAAGGCTAGTTAAAACCATTATAATTTTGAGTTATCTGGTGATGCATCAAACTTTTGCATAAGCATCTAATAATTGAAAATAAAATAATTTTTTTGTCGTTTTACATAATTTTTAATTAATGTACAGTGTGAATATGCATGCTAAAGAAATCCAAAAATACATTGATATTTTAAAACCATCATACTCTTGGTAGTATTAAGATTGATCTTATGTGGATCAAAATCATATTACCTGTGTTTACTTTATTGAGTTATATTGTACAGGTTACTACTAACCATATTACCCGTGTTTACTTTATTAGGTTATATTGTACAGGTTACTACTGATCATATTACCTGTGTTTACTTTATTAGGTTATATTGTACAGGTTACTACTAATCATATTACCTGTGTTTACTTTATTAGTTATATTGTACAGGTTACTACTATCATATTACCTGTGTTTACTTTATTAAGTTATATGTACAAGTTACTACTAATCATCTTACCTGTGTTTACTTTATTGAGTTATATTGTACAGGCTACTACTAATCATATTACCTGTGTTTACTTTATTGAGTTATATTGTACGGGTTACTACTAATCATCTTACCTGTGTCCTATTTAAAGTTTTACTACAAATGCATGTTGTTGTTTGTTGAATTTCACCAAAAAAGCTACTCAAGGGCTATCTGCACTAGCCATCCCTAATTTTGAAGTGATAGACTAGATGAAAAGCAACTAGTCAACACCACCAACTTGTAGGTTAATCTAATCAAAGCGAAGGATTTGACCATCACTCTTATAATGCACCCACTATCACAAAGTTCATGGTGGACAATGACCTTGTAGGTTTTTCCACAAGTATTAGAACACAAACGGTACTATGTTGATTGCCATGCAAAAGTCTTCAGAAGTTAACAACGTCAACACAAGGTACCCCGATGTCTTCAATGCATCTATTGTCTATACAGTCTTATGTTACACATAACTTGTTGGTCAATAGTTTTTAATTTGACAGCTGTAAAAATCACACACACACACAAATCAACAATATAGTCTTTTTTGTTAAAAAACAATTTCCAAATCTTGCTTGTCTATCTCAAACAATGATTTCTCTGCACGTATTATATGTTGTCTATAAACTCCCCACACAGTTCTGGATACAGTAGGACCCAAATATATAGATGGGTATGAGGTGGCCTCTCTGGCTGGGGAGGTACATGCCCAAAAAGTAACCCAGGCATGTTGGTTTCTAGGAGTACGTTTGAAGGTTAGCTAAACCTGATTCTGGGCCTTACATTTTGTGTTCTAAGGATCCCAGGGAGCACAATGTTTGAAATTTTGACCAAACTTGATACACATGCTCAAGTACTGCAGGTAGATATCCTAGCAGCTCCTCTTTCATTGTAGACATAGAAGTAATTGGGGAAAATGGAGGAGCTTGATAAGTACATTGGAGCCTCCATAAACCATGAGAAGGGTGGGGGGGGGGGGGAGTGGCTTTGGACCTGCAGTACAGGCAATTTATTCTAAAATGTCAAATCATTCTGAATAAACATATGATGTGTATAACAAAAAGAACAACTTACTCAATGGGCTTGATGAAATCTTCTTTATTCCTCAGTTGATGATGTGGTAATGGGTCCCATTTAAAATGCAGACCCCAGTTAAAGCCTCCACGAACAACAGGCGAGGCAGTGTATTCAAACGTGTCTGCATTAATAATATCAATTACTGGACAGACCACTGTAGTGCGATTTTTGTATACACGCTCCAAAAGAGGTTCTAACCAGTTCCTGTTGACCTCACAGTGACTGTCAAGAAACACCAGAACCTGAATGAAGAAAAACTAATTACAGTAATTCACCACCAGCCCATTCAGAAATATGTCTTTTAAACTAGATTGAAAATGTAAAGACATAAAAAGTAAAAGTTAATGAAAATAATTGAGAATATAAAACAAGTATTTATGCATAACCCTACACACAAGGCTAAGAAAATACTGTTTAACACTCTCAAGTGAACATTTTAGAAGAATCTTACATCTCCTGTTGCTTGATGAGCTCCGTACATTCTTGCTCTGATAAGTCCTTCCCTCTCTGGTGTCTTCAGGAGTTTGACTTTCAATGGGAGGTTGGCCTCAACATACTTGGTTAGGTCCTTTTTCAGCATTACTAAATACAGATAGGAAATATTTATGAAGGAGCATTTCAACCTCTCAGAACATTGCCCATCTTTTCAACTACCTAACCAGTCATTAAATATTACACTTTTGTGAATTCCATCAATACTTTTTGAACTAAGAACAATTATCAAACCTATGTATTCTATTATTTATTTTTATATATTTTTTGAGTCTACAAAAGTGTATCATATCCAATCTGAGTTTTCTCAGAGTTTCCAAAAAATAAGCATATAATTACAAAAATGAATTTTTAAACATAATGTTAAAAACAAACTTTTTTTTAATGTATTTTTTCCACATACTTTAATAACTATTAGTTCATTCTCTTGAATTCCAGCATTCTCTTAGATGGTCGTATAGACTTGCTATTAAAGAATGTTACAAATACGGCAACTTTTACAAGTACATAATTAAAAAAACAAAAATTGAACTTACCACATGTGACCAAAAACCTTTAAGGAACTAATCCTGTTATTAATCAACTGAAAATGCAGGATATGAAAACTAACTCGTGGATATTCTATTCTGATTTTATTATTATAAATATAAGAACAGGGGTTGAAATTTTTTAATACACAACCTTCTGGTTAAAGGAAAGAGGAACAAAAACCTTCTGGTTAAAACAAAGAGGGACAAAAACCTTCTGGTTAAAAGAAAGAGGGACAAAAACCTTCTGGTTAAAAGAAAGAGGGACAAAAACCTTCTGGTTAAAGGACAGAGGAACAAAAAAATCTTCTGGTTAAA